CCTCAGCTTAACATAAATATTCAAAATAAATTATTTCACAATTGCTAAATTGCTTAAAATATAAATTGAATGACACAATTTAACAATGCGAAATAATTTATTTATTACTTAATTTCTACCTTAACATTCTCCCCTCCGTTGAGTGGTATAATAATAACTCAACTACTTATACTTCCACAACGAGCTGTTGCCGTCTTGGGGTAGGTTGTGGATATGCTGTGGACTCAGATTGAGGTGAATCATCTTTTCGTCGGGTTTGTTTACACTTCTTCGTAGATTTGTATATTATGTAAGTGCAACACAATGTCAGCAGTAAAATAGTTCCCACGTAACTAATTATATGGTGTGGTTGAGAAACTGGTTCGGCCTTAACTGAAAACTTATCCATAGCCTTTAACCTTTGATGTAACATTGATAGTTCTTTCAGTTGTGTCTCAAGATGATCGTCAGCCTTGTTGATGATTGTTTTTATTTCATTTGGTGTAGTTATGGATGCAAGCTGTTCTACATGAACAAATGATGAATGAACTACAGATGGCAATGAGTAATGACCTTGAATTGTAACTAGATTGTTTCTTATTGTACATTCTGGTCGTAAAGTTAGAATGCCCGATCCTTCTATTGTGACTTGATTTAATTGTGTTCCGCAAACAGATGACATCTCAGTTTTATTCACTGTAGCATATATCCATTGATTTGTTTGTTCCATTTTCGTCCAAACCATCTTATTGGATAACTGTGTTAATCTGCAGCTTGTTGTGGTTCGATTATTAAATAATTCTATCTCACACGTATGAGTTTCTGAGTATCTGCCTAGTTTTATATGCTTTCTAGAACAAATATACACCGCCTTGTTCGGAATTTGACAATTATCTAGCTCATTTTCTCGCAGGGGAATGTATTGATCTCGAAATGTGTTTACTGCTATAAACGAGACATCACTTTTGATTGTTAAAATGGTGTTGTTTATAACTGTTGGTATAGGTAATATTCTGAATAGTTCCATGTCATAGGAATCTATAAGTGGTACCTTAATAACAAATATGATTTGTTCCTTAGTTACTGCTCCAGATATTTCCATTATTCTGTAGAGTTGAACTAAATCATCTTGATTAACCGGAAATCGTCGAGATGGCGGAATATGACTTCTTATATGCTTGATCTCATTTTTTAGTTGTTGAGGTGATAACAATAGAGGACTTATTTTTCCGTGATGAGAGTCAATTAAAACATTTATAATTTCCGCTTGTATTCTTTGCAAATTAGCACCCATCAGTGTCAATTGTATTGCAATTGATATGAATATCTGCGTAATTTTAATTTGTTCGGTTTCATTGTCGATTCGATTTAGTACTTGGCTAATTTGATCTTGAAGTTGACCAAGTTGACTATTAACAGTTTCTTCATCACGTTTAAGTATATTTAATGTTGAATCTATTATGGAGGTTTGATTCTGCAGCAATCTAGCTAGGTGGTTATCATCTTCCTTTAGCTGATTTATTGTTTGTGACATATCCTCTGCGTAATTTGAGTCCAGAACCCCAAATAAAGCCTTTGCCACATTTCCAACGAGGTTTATGGCTCCTCGTTTGTCTCGTCTGTTGTTTAATAAAATCTTCTCCTGTAGGATATCATCTCTTGTATGCTCAAACGTACCTACGAGCGTGTGACAAGCCGAACCCTGCTGTAGTTTGATGCACAATTTATCTAGTGCAGAAATTCCATTAACGAATGTGTTATATTGGGTCTGTACCGGAGCTAATTCATAATAAACAACCATTTTCCATTCACCTGTTACCATCTGAACAGTGCCCATATTTTCGAAGTAGAGACCAATACTTGAATTAAGCTGTGTTGTGGTTACAGGATTGCCCAATATAATTGGCAGAAAGAATAGTGTGAGAATGATTGCGAATAATGTTGTTTGTTGGGGCAACTTTATTTTCTTTGATGGAACTACCAAAGTATCTTCCTGGCTTATGTTTGAATGATGTTTTCGTTTTTCGTCTTTCTCTTCATCTTCTCGAAACAGTGGAGCAAGCCGATGAATAGGCCGTTTACAAATTCCTGCAACTGTCTTCACTTCCACTACTCGTACCATGCCATCATCGCCTCGAAACACTTTCGTAACCCGACCTAAGGGCCAGTTGAGTGGTGCTGTATTGTCTTCTTTGATTATGACCATC